AAGAATAAAAAACAGATAATATCCATCGTAGGTGCTGATCGAGTTTATAAAATCAGTACAAGATCGTTTTGCTTTTGTAAGTCGTTCAATGTTCCACGATAGTAGTTTAATACTGCTCTCATATAATCCCTATACTTGCCCATGTGTTTGTGATTGTGAGATATATTCTATATCATCAATGAAAAACTTGTCGTATTTGAAGTATGCCTTCTTTTTGTTGTTCTTTGCATCTTTGCAAGCTTTCATAAGCGATTTCCTTTGTTCCGCAACGTCCTTTGGAAAATGTTAGCTGACACCTACATCTGTGTATTTTTAGATTCGGACAAACTCACGATCTTTAAATGTGTCGCATTTTACCAGTACTGGTCTAGTTTTGCAACTGAGGAATTTTCCAAGACGTATAGCATCTACTTTCATCTTGTTTTCTATTATATTCAATATTGAGTCTTTGCACATTTTCGGTGATTCTTCCGCGGAATCTGATACTTAAAATACAACAGATTGTTCTTTAACTAATCACACTTTCGTTTAGTCACCAGTTCATTACATGTATTATTTCACATTCTAATTGCTGCAGTCTCTTTGCCATTTCTGTAACACAAGTTTGTTTGCTACTGATATCATCCATATTTGCCGAGTCGAATTCTCTGTTTTTATAGAGGTCCGTTAGCCTTCTTTCAAATGTTATGATATTTGGATCAATGTCATGTAGCCTCCCAATTATTGTATTAACGGATGACTGAATATTGTCTAACTGTGTTAATCTGCTGTCTACTTTATCTAACCTTTGAAGTATAAGGGTTAATGGATCAACGCTCACCTGGCTTTGTTGTGAAATCGGTGGACAGGAAATTTGTCCTTGATTTTGAATCATGATCCTTGAAGATCGTTCAGCACGACATTATTGTTGTGTATACATTTTACATGGTATTTTTAGTTTCTTGTAATTGGCCTTTTTCAATTTGGGTGGTTCCAGTATTCCTACTTGAATACTGTTTAATCGCCCTTAGGATATGTTGCCTGCTTTTTAAATTTGTCTTTTGACGTCTTATCTGTGATATGCAGACTTCATAACCTCAGATCCCCTTTCAAAATTCCATTTTATTTAGTTCCGCCCATTGTTTTCTCGTTTAGGGCACACGCATTCTTTTACTTGGGGACCATACGCCGCTTTTCATGGAATGACACTACTGTGTCACATTGAAGATTCCATGAAAACCGCCGTATGAACACATCTGCGGATGGTTTTAAATTCAAAATTTCACAATTTTAGTGTTTTAAATGTTGAATTCTGCTTAAGCCGGTGATAGGGGGCGTGGACGGTAACTTGCACTTTCCAGTACCGGCCATGGACAGGCTTAATCAAACCGAGCCTGCACAATTTTCAATTTTGTCGTGTTGGGCTGTCTTGAGAGATTCTGTATTTCTCTATTTTTTGGGTAGCTTGGCCCATATTGTTAACTCCAAAATTTTCATAAGAAAATATTCCAGGCATAATAACACTGACTTGCACTTTGGCCACTTATTGCAAAAGCGTTTGCATGTTGTGGTGAGATTTCCGGAGATAATTCCGACGTGTTTTTATTAGCCGACATGGTTTGCCCTTTTTGTTGTGCACCCTCTTTGTTCTCTGGTGAACTTTTACTTTTCTTGCGTTTACCCATAAACACTTGTTTTTATTCAAATATTGTCACTAAGTACTTATAATAATATAGCCAGCGACTTAAACATGCACAATAAAATCTTTTAATGTCCCAATTTGCACTAGAAATATCCACAATTCGATCGAAATTTTCCTAATTCATTTTTTCCGCCATTCACGCGCATGCGCACTTAAAACATGACTTAACCGTTTGGTACCTTATGTATCAATTTATGACTGTTCAAGTGGAGGTTAGGAATTTGAGAATAAGGCATTGACAATTGGTACCAACCAAATTACACTGTGGCCTATCGCGTGGTTTGTTACGCCTTGTCTTTTGCTAAGGGGCGTGAGGGATGTTGCTCTTTTTATAATCCCTCATGTTCAGACCCAATCAAACCGAGTCTGCAATTTTCATATAATTTCGTTGTGATAAATGCTTCCGAGGCATCATCCTTTGTTACAACAAGATAAAAAAGCGGCAACTTCGAGAGTTTTAACATTTTAGTTGCATCAGAAAACTTCCGTGAAAAGCTACTAGGTGCAAGCTCTTATACCAATATGTTTTCCTTGTTGTATCATTATTGTAGTTTTCCTGGAAAACGGGACAAACCACAATGCTTTTGCAAATTCGGAACTGCCTCGGCTATTATCTATAATAACCTCGGAAACAATACGGATTGAAAGTAGTTCTACCACGTGGTTTCAGATGTAAACAGAAACAGAGATAATGTAAAACGAATGTATATATTTGACATCCAAAGGAAAAGAAATATCTGTTTCGGGACACTTATGATTGAAAATATGTCTGAGATTTGAATATGCCCACTGATGTACAATTTTAAACAAATTCGACTAAATGTCAACAGGTTGGTTTTTTGTACTTTCTACAACCATAATTATAAATCTAGAAATATTGTATTGTTTGCTTTTGTATCTATGAATTCACTTATTTTAGATGGACTTTTACTACATATATTGGAAATAAACTTGTCTACAACTTCCAGCATTAAATTACTATTTGTTAACATGTTTAGTTTCTTAGCGTAGTTTAGACCAAAATACCGTATCCGTTCTGTGTATTCATACTATTGTGTTCGAGGTCCTTATCCGAAGACTGACGGAAAGGGCCGAGTAGTTGCGATTGTGCTTTTGCATCCAGATAAAATTTCAAAAAAGAGCACCGTTTCAAGTTTTGACTTGGTGTGTTAATTCTTATAATACAAAAAACACGATTTTTCTGTAAACAGAGAAATTACAAGTGCACTTGTCTATTAGATAATGGAAACTTTTGGTAAGGAGTAATGTTGATATGTCTAGTGAATTGACACTTAGTGCCAAATTTCCAAACTTATCAAGGAAAAAGATCTTACAGGGACCAAGTAGGGGTCTTTTTACAGGAATGCATCTGATGAAAGGCATGTTACTTATCCCCAAAAGTGCCTCTTTTGTGTACCAGCGATAGCAAGAATGTGATCCCTCGGACGAATTTATTTTGTATTCTGCACCTTCATAAATATCAAGTTGGATTTCATTGGGTGAGAATCAATATTAAAGGTCAGTCTTTATTTTCAGAAGCATGAAATGCAAACAGTTATTTTCTTAAATGTATGTCATATAACATTGAATAATGTTGAACTAATGGTTTACAACTTGACTAAAATATTTTGAAAGATTTGGAAGCGTGTGTTTCTTGTTGTTGTTGTTGTTTGTTGTTTATTTTTGTGTTACCACACTGAACTTCAAAATGAGTCATTTAAGGCCCCTGTGCCCAATACAAGAGAACGGTTATACATTAAAGTACCCTCAAGGCGCATGATGCCTGAAAAATCCATATATTTTTAAGTTTTCAGAAATGTCAAACATGTGTTTAATTATTACCTGTTAAAGAATTTAGAGCATCTTAGAAGTTTAACAACTTAAGAAAGCAGCCCTGAATGTGCAGTTATTCGTCATAAAAGGTAGCAAAATGTAAACAAAGTAGTATTTTGTCTTCCATATAAATACTTATTCACTAAATTATAGCAATTGTATACAGAGCAAAATAAGCAAAAGAAAGTTCATCTATTTAGCAAATTAATTTATTGGAAATTGTAACATGATACCAAAAACAAAAAAAAAGGTTTTGTGTAATAAATATCATAGCGTTCCTGAAGCATAATGGGCATTTAAATTAAACTTATTAAACTGTATTAACAATTTGTTAGAAATGAGTATGACTAATTGTTTAAGTAAATTTATCACATGCCCGTGCCGATTTTGCGACTCCGTAAAAACGGTATTGCACAGCCGTGCATATATTTTGACGTGACGTCTTTTCGTTATGCAAGCATAGTGTAAAGATGCGCTAAATGTTAGCGTTACAGTATTGGCTCGCTTAATATAACTTTATTCAACTCATTCAATAAAGTCAGTATTGAACTTATACTCATTCAATATCCTCTATATAATGTATAATTATACATTGTGTATAACGTTTATTGTATGTATTTAATTAATACGATATTTAAATATTGTTTTCATCCCAGAGCGAAACAATGGTTAATGCTACTCTATGCATATCATTACGTTTTGTAAAATAAAATCAGATAATGTATACAGTTATTCATACGGTGTTCCGTTCGGACAAAAAAGTATCGTGAATTTTTGTTTTACCATAGCCAGCAATGCACGATGCTTCGACTGTAAATCGCGACGAACGATGCAAAAAAATACGATGAGATGATGGAAAAATCGCGGTAAAATATGGTACGATGGTGAAAACACGATGTAATATCGCATCTCTATCATCGTAACTATGAGAGTCCTTTTACTATCGCGAAACACTGATCATGGTTATCAAAAAACGATGCCACGACGATGTAAACGCGATTCTACGATGGCACGAGGATACAATTTCGAATGTACGATGGTGAAAATGCGATGATACGATTGTATGATGATTAAGGGGCGATGGAAAGTTGATATAAACGCGTCATTATATCGCGTTTTCACTATCTTACCATCACATCATCGCGATTTAATCATCGTGTCATCATATTGTCATCATTGTACTATCGTATTTCCATCGTCGTATCATCGCGTATTCACAGTCGAAGCATCATGCATCGCGTGCAAGAGTTAAGTAAAAAGTCTCGATTGTCCGAACAGAACGCTGTACATTTTCGATTAAACTTTCTAGCCAGAAAGAGAAGGACGTTTTAATGCGAGCAAGCTAGATCCTATCAGACGAGCATCTGACTTAATAGACAAGTATCACATCAATTAAATCACTTTCTCAGGAAAGGAAATCTCTATTTGGTAACTTTTAAGTGAATACTTCCGGTAAATTACGCCAAGTTGAATTTAGCTATAAGTATAGTATTTGATAAAACAGCCGCGCGTTGAATGCATATTTTCTTGTTTACTTAATTAAAATGGTAATGTGATTTATTTAATTCATTGATAAGAAATGTGTTTCACTATATCAGATACGTAATTATTGTGAATTGTTGTTTTATCAGTCGACAAACAACAACAGTCTTTATTTCAAGGTCATATATGTGCTGGTAAAAGAGCATACTTTAAAGTCGTGTAGTTTTAAATGATTGGTTTATTGTGGTTCCATTCACGAGTATAGACGCATGTATGAACGGGATTTCATATCAGGATTACAAATCTGTGACACTCACACGCATAATGTGTTTATCTAAACTATTCTGGAATGTTCCATGACAAATAAAGATGACGCATGCGCAGTGTTCATTTTAAATTCACTGGAAAATACATCACAAAAGTTATGGCCAGTGAGCGTAAGTAGCGCATGCGCAAAAACAATCGTCAACTCTTGAAAAATGTTTGGTCCTTGCGAATGTGAAATGTTTAATTCATTCAGGAGTTGTGACGAAGGCATAGAAATGAAAACATTACAAAAGATGTTAACGTAAAACTGTTTATCTTCACAGGAACGTCTAATATGTGGCCTATACCGTTAATGCATGCTCAGTAATAATCTTAACTTCGCCGGAACACTGAGAAAGTAATTCACGTGAAGTGTATTTTATTCTTGTCTAGAAAGCTAAATTTATCATATGAGTTTCATAATTTTTATTCAAATAGTGAAACATAGACAAGTTTATTGCTTTTGCATTTGGTTAAATGTTTACATTATGCTTTCTGGAGCACTAATGACAACGACGCATGCGCAGCGTTAATATTTAGCACTTTGGAACGCCAGACAAAACAAGAGCGGTCATTTACCTTTTCCTATTCTGCAACAATAATTAGAAGAAACAATTAAACAAATGCCCTTCTGTATCAATAAAGATGCACTGACAAAGACATGCCAATAACGTTACAAACACCACGTTTTGTATTTTGTTCCGTTGCCAACAACTTCGTTTCATTCTCTTTGCACTTAAAAGTGCATATGTACAATGCATGTGTCTACTGCCTATGGACATAACATATCTATTTATCTATATGCATGTATTCCGGCAAGACAGTGTTCTTTATCTGTAGAGGGATGTTAAAGGACTTTAATCAATTTATCAAAATGGACGTTACATATTGAGGTTGGTATATTGTATGTATATTTTTCTTATATTTCTGGACTTTAGAGGGATTCCACTAAGGCTTTTTGACATTGCGGGACTAGAAATAATTTATGGAGATTAATGTTCCATTTGATGTAGGTTTATACCAATATCATATTTGTGCAAAATTTCAGATCATTCACTCACTCTGTTTTTTAAGAATATTCATTCTAATAGTAAAAATGGCCTGCAACTGCATAGCGTTTACAAGTATATTTCTGAATTACATTTTTTCATATACATATTTCAAGAAATTCAAATATGTTTTTTTGTTGTTGTTTGTTTGTTTTTTTTTTTTGTTTTTTTTTTGTTTTGTTTTGTTTTTTTTTTGTTTTTTTTTTTTTTTTTTTTTTTTTTTTTGTCATTTAACATAAAGGCCTCTTGGTGGGTATTGTATTCTATTAAAATACTAATGGCGTATTTCCCTTATATAATTTATTAACGGAAGTGAAAACTTCAATTGATGCAATCTATTTTAGTCCTTCTTGTAAATTGTTCCTCCATTAAACAGTAATATATAAATTTACATACATAGGTCAATTAATTTGTTCTTTATTTTTAATTTATACAAGTGATTAATATATTATAATGGGAGAGAAAAAAACTTATGAAAAACGCTCTTTTTCTATTGATCAGTATGTTTGATTAGGTCTTTCTGTTGCTTTTTTGTAAATATTAAAGAATATATGACAAGAAATTCAACCGTCAACTCCGATGCCAATGTCAATTAGCCAGTGCTATGGTGTATGTGGGATGTTGTAATTTTCCATTATGTCTCTTGAACAAACTCCATCAAACCAAGTCTGCAATTTTAATTTAATTTAATTTCGTATAACATAAAAAGATGCTACTTCTATCCCAACTTTACCCGTAATAATGCCATAATACGAAAAGCATTACAGTTCCGTGTTGCTGTACTGAGATAGATAAGATTCCATTTTGGGTTTTTATTTGTTTATCTTTTTATTTTAAATTTTTTTTTATTTTTTTTTATTGAAATTGCCCAGTTTGTGAACGGAAAGTGAATACCTCGAATAGTTTAATTTAAACTAAAAACTGATAATTGAATTCATCGAAAATAAATGTCCAAACTTTAACTTTCAACCTTAAGAATAATTACAAAAGTACAGTAAAGCTGGAACGTCGCGATATGACCTATACTGTGTCGATGTGACGTAAAACCCAAAAACAAACAAACAAACAAACAAAAAGTTTATAATTCATTTTAAATTACCATTTTTCTACCTTGTGACAAAATAATTAATTCCCCGGGTAATTTTCCGGAATCATCGCTATTTATGCAAAGTCTCATTCTAAACTATACTACGTTATAATATTATGTTACAGTTATAAAACATTTGAGCCGCGTCATGACAAAACCAACATAGTGTGTTTGCGACCAGCATGGACCCAGACCAGCCTGCGCATCTGCGCAGACTGATCAGGATCCATGCTGTTCGCTATCAGTATCGCTACTTGTAATAGGGTTTGTAAGCGAACAGCATGGATCCTGATCAGACTGCGCGGATGGTCGCAAACCCACTATGTTGGTTTTGTCGTGACGCGGCTCAATACTATACTTTAAACCATGCCATCTCATTCATCCAATATAGTGTTCTGGGTGCTTTCACAGGTGGATATAAAACTTAAGGGAAATATGTAAGGTTCTTTCATTTTTTTTCAAATTTGCTAAACATGTAAAAATCGTTTAATGTATTAAATGTATAATTTACACTTAACTTAACTTAACTTATCGATTAAAGCTTAATCGGCTTAAGAAAAGATTTTATATCTAAGGCAGATTTGTACTTTATTCTAAACATTGTCCAGTATCAACAGTTACTGAAAATTTCTCGTATAGTCAGCCCAACAAATTTGACAAAGGCCTCAGCACTTCCTATCTATTTTGGCCACTCCGCAGTACTTTAATCAGATGTCCCACACGTGAAGTATAGGTTTGTTTTATTCACAGGGATGTGAAGAATATGATTAGTGAAACAGGCGGGTTACAATACAACGCCTGAAGAACGCCTGAACGTACAAATGAGGCCTTGTGTTTTTGATGTCGTAGTTGTACATGCGATTGTCAAAATTGACCACACTATTAACTTTAAGGTTAACTTTAATAGTTTGTACAGTCACCGGGTTCTCCATCTCCGTCGTGCACGAAAGTCGAAATTTCAAGTTAGTAAGTCGAAATATCAAGATAAAATAATAATAAAAAACAGGCATCTGGCACTAATGCTCTTACGTGACCAAGTCATTTATAAACGTGTTATCTTTATTCAGTCATGGTGAAAAAGAAATATAAAAAACAATGCAAAAACTTTGTTAACCGGCCTTAACTGGTTAAACATTAATTTAACTAGGAAGTTAAATCACAAGTACATCCTTTTTATTTTAGAATGCTCAGTGAGATTCCCGGATTTCAGTTTGCAAAATGACCAACGTAAATTCTTCTAATATTCAGTTATTCCCTGTAAATTTTACTGAAAGTCAAGCTGAGTTTAAATGTCTTTCAGCCAAAAATTAAGCCAAGTACAGAATTACATTTAAGTGTAACAACAATAGCTAAATATTTATATATTTATACATATATTTAATTGTAAAAAATGACCACATATTTATTGGCCAATGAATAGAATGTGATAATCTTTACATCCATAAACCTAATTTTAATTATAAGGTCTTTCAAGAAGCATCACTTTCATGCTCTTTAAAAATGAAAATTTTAAAAGTTTTTTTTTTCAAATTCTTTTCAGAATTGCTTGGGACTCTTAATAAGAAGTAATTTATTATACAACCTGAGGAGGACTTTATGAACGTGTTATTAGGACTGAGTTATTATGACTTAAAACTTTATAATTAGAGATGAAAGTTGCTAATAACAACTAAGTTACTTTTTATTTGTAGTAAATAACTCCTAATTACCACCTATTCATAAATGTCTAATCCGTAAGTTACAAACTACCAAATATGAATGAGAAACTCCTAGGCTAATATACGTCTAGATTTGGATACACCTAATAAGGAATAAGACACCCCTAAGCAGGACTCATAAAATCCTAATTAGGACTTTATAAACTGACAATGTAAAGTTATTAAAGCCTTACAAGGAGATTCATCTTACAAGCAGCTCATAATTAGAAGTAAGTTTAATAAGGTTTAAATAAGTTATTTCAAAAAAAATATTACAAAATATAAGCCTTATAAAGACTATATATACACGTTATTACCAAAAAAAGAAAATAGGAAGTTAAAAATAAACCCCAAATGAATACCACAAGTGTTACATACTCTACAAGGTTCTATTTGGGTTTCTTTTGATGATTTAATCAAGCACATATCCACTATAAGAGGTCACTAAAACCCGTTTCCTTACTTTTTTTAAACAGAATCTATTGTGGTTCGATTGTGTAGGAAGCTTATAGCTTGGAACTTACCAGTACTGAGCAATAAGAATAGTGTAAATTTCTTGCTCAAGGAAACAACGGCTCGCACGGATACCGATCCTTAGATCACTAGTCCAACGTGTTAACCACTCGCTCATGCCGCTACTTCTCTATTAAAAGTTTCGTGTGTGCCGTATAAGGGTTTCGATAGTTTTACTGCTATCCTAAACATTTCTTTAAACAAATTGACAAGAAAAGCATAGGAAACGATACAAATTGTGCAAAAAATCACACTAATGTAGTTGCAGAAGGTGGTATAGAATGTATGATGTGTAATGATTAATATGATCGAAAGTCATTGCAGAACTTGATATAATTCAACACAATACAACATAGCGTGTCTTTACATAATGTTTCGCCTTTTAAAGATAGGATTTCTATTTAACACGTACTAGGATTTCTATTTAACACGTACTTCCTAGCAGCATATTCTAATTTGATTTAAAATTATCCAGACGATATTCAAAATAACGTGATAATATTTTTAAAGTTTTGACACCGCAATGGAGTCCGATTTCAGTAACACGTCGTAATTACTTACCGATTTTAGTTTCTTGACAATTTGTTACATTCACAAAGAAGAAAATATAAGATGATATTGAGATCATTTATAACCACAACATAACTTTGTTTAGATAAAATCCAAAAAGCTACTGTAAAATTAAGACTACAAAACTATCCTTCTTTTCTAGGCCGGTATAGCACTGGAACCCCTTACCCCCTTCAGTTGCCCTACTCCCCACCCTAGAGCAGTTCAGTGCAGCAAGAGCTTACATTGAACGTGCCTCACTTTAGTTTTTTAACCCCCTGTTTTAACGTGTTTTTTTTAAATATACTTCTTTTATCCTCTTTTAAACATCCTTTTTAACTTTTTAACTTTCTTGCGATTTAGACGCGCAACTGTATCTATGTCCCCGCTAGGGGTTTGACATTAATGGAAGATAGAGAGTAAAGATCATTTTTTTCTGTAATCAAGTCGCTATATCCTGAGGATGGTAAAGTTAGTTACTATATAGCGAACACAATTAATGATTTTTTTAAATATTGTACATGTCAATTATAAAGTTTGCTGTAGAATAATGAAGAATTAAGTACCTAGTATCCTGTTACATTGACTTATGATTGACATTTTTGTGGAGGAAATTAAGAACAGGAAAATATTATATAAACGGAAATTATGAGACGATAGGATATCCTGTCAATTAGTGCATATATAACTTATTTATAATGTACATGTATTACATTACTGATGTATCATTGTTTTCTAAAAGTATTGTTCATATGATTTTATCTTTATCATTATGTTAATTGTATTTGTCATATTATAAGCACTTGTATATGATAATTGGGAGATGGGAAGGGGGGGGGGTTCAAGGGGGGAGCTTTTGTGTTATGTTTGAGCTTCCTGTTAGGTAAGAAGAAAATGCACTGTAAACAAACTAACAAAGTATTATAAAACGACATTTAGAAATGTTTATTCAACTTATAAGAAAACTTATTACAATTTAGAAATTATTGAAGAGTAGATGGATTTCGCAAGCATGACGTCTATTAGAAAGTATCATAAATAAAGTAATATTTTAAATGAACAAAAAAGATTTACTATTTCCTAGTTACTGTAGCACAAAAGCGCTGAACATTGTTTCCTTGAACGGTTTTCAGCGTTATTCATTCTTGCCGATGAATGGCTGTCGATGTTATCATTTAAAAGAGATAAACGACTGATGACGTTACTAAAATTTTAATTACACTCAAACTTAAATACCCTATAACTTTAACAAAAAAGCATTTTCGAAGATATCAATTGGAATATTTAATGACGAAATGTTGACGTTTACGAATCGTATGATAAAAGGATTTATTATCATGAGAAAATATTAATTTTTGTAACTTAAAAATAAAATGCCACATCTCATCGGATGGTGTGGTTATTTTCAGTCAAAATTCACGTGAAGTGAAGATTGCACAGGGCCAGAAATTTGTTAGTACGCTCCCTTGGATGTTGACTATGAATTCATAACATTGACTTACTCAAATACAGTTGGTATATGTTAAAAATAGATGAATACTTACCGTCCGTCAATTGTGTTTTCTGCACCGACATGTATATATAAGTACAGCTGTCGACGCTTGAACTGCTCTCCGCCCATTTGATTGTACGGTGTTTAAATACTGAAGCGATCTGGTGCCAATTAAACATGTTCTATAGAAAAAGATAACTCATGTGTAGGAGATAAAAAAGGCCTAATTAGAGTTTATAACTTCTATAAGTCCTACGTAGGACTTTATAACTCCTACATTGAAGATAAAAGAAAAGCCTAATTAGGAGTTTATAACTCCTACGTATGAGATAAAAATGTCTAATTAGGACTTTATATTTACGTAGGATATGTATCAAAGTGCTGAAATCACACAGTGCGACGGACATGTATGCTATAATATAACCTAGGATAGCATGTTATGTAGGAAAATAGATTTAGTAAATACCCTTATTATGTAGCCAGCGATGATTTTGAGCGAAATAACCAGAACTCAGTAATCTGAATTATTTTGAGCAATACAACTAGTTCCAAAAATTGAACACACTTAAGATGTCATTCTCTTCATATATTAAACGAGGATTCTGTGTTTTGTACGTTTAGTTATATTGATTATGTGTTAAACTTTGTTCAAAGTAGGAAATTATTCATTTTTAGACTTATGCTTGCATTATGCTTCGCAAATAGCAACTTTCCGGAGCTTGAACAAGACACCTCATCCCATCTCCCTGCCCCCTACAAGCTGTAATCGGAACGGAATATATATATATATATATATATATATATATATATATATATATATATATATATATATATATATATATATATATATATATATATATATATATATATATATATATATATATATATATAATATGGCTAAATTGTTCGTTTTGTTCAGCTAGTTTGCATGGAAAATGTAATCTTCAGAGCCTTTTAAAATTTTGATATATTCATATCTTAGACACTTAAATGCTTGTTGTCGAGTAAGTTTTTCGAAGAGCTGTGAAGCATTTTTTCGGGATACATCGCCAATGCTTACAGACTCACCTCAAGACACTTCCAACTCCAGAAACCTGAGACACTGTATTGAAAGATGAAGTGTTCTCAATTTTAAGATTTGAAATTTCAGGGGTTGAGATCGGATGGGGGAGTTAACTGTTTTGTTCCATCGCAGATATACCGGTCCGGAATGTTGAGATTTGCATAGCATTCCGAATGTATTTCTTATAAAGTCCAACGTAGGATTTATATTTAGGGGCTCTATACTGTCACAATCGCATTCAATAATCAAATCCAGTTGCTATTTTAGTAAAGTCTGTTTTATTTATTACTTATTTGTTCTGGTAAAAATGATAAAAAGCAGAATTACCTTAAAATAAAACATCACACTTTTTTGTATTCAAATGTGTAAGTTATTGTAAGAAAACAGTAACATGTGTTTCAGTGGGTGTTCTTTTTGTTGTAGTTATTGTGGTTGATGCTGCAGTTGCTGCTGCTACATTACTGTTTATGCCACAATAATAGATCAAATAATAATATTTTAAAATCAATTTTATTATAGTGGTGGAGATGGGTTAATATTTATTAGTTCATTACTGATAACAGATAATTATTTTACAATCTAATATGTATTTTGCAATTACAGGTAATCCATGGCAGTAAATGGCATCTTAATAAATCATTAGCAAGTCTTGGCAGCAGTAAGCAAAATACTGGCAACCTAAAAGTCCCCGCATAGCTGTGGCAACGGTCATGCAAATATTGGAAATCGTTCACAAACATAGGCATTAATCACTTTATGTAGGCAATTAGAAAGCCTTTGCAATACTGGACAAATAAATACCTAAGAAAAATCTGGTAACTGCCTCACTAATGAAGGGTTTTCAACGTACATTTTCAGATATACTGTTACTCGTGGTTTTTCTCATTCTTACTGCTTTATTGTTTACAATCTACACTAGTACCAAATCTGTTCCGTTACGTCCCGTTCCGTATGACTTTGAAGAGAGTTACACGGTCGAACCAGTGTTTAACAAAGTGTTTGTCAACAAAAGCCAGTTCGATCTTCGCATTATTGTAATCACTTACAACAGGGCAGCTTCATTGTTAAGGTTATTAAAATCGATCAATAATGCCGAATATTACTCTGATAAAATCAAATTAGAGGTCTGGGTTGACATTTCCAAGGAAGGTAAAAAAGACAATGCGACGATAAACACCGCGTATGAATTTGAATTTAAACATGGGTCATATGATGTTCACGTGAGAGAAAAGCATGCCGGTATATATGGACAATGGCTGACTTCCTGGAAGCCGGTGAAACAATCTGCAGAGGTCAGCGTTATTCTTGAGGACGATTTAACAGTGTCACCGTATTTCTATAAATATCTTAAACTTGTGCATAGGAAATATGACAGTCACCCAGAGATCAACGGGTACGCTTTACAAGGTGTTTCGATTAAACACCACGTACGTGACATGTCCACCCTTGAGGGGCCTCCCGGAAGTTTAGTTTTTCTATATCCGGTTCTCGGCACGTGGGGATTTTCTCCAGTGACGGATAAATGGATTGGATTTTTAGACTGGTTCTATTCATTACGTAACATGAGTGACGTAAACCCGGATATACCAAACAATATTGCGTCAGAGTGGTATAATATGTTTCTCAAAGAGGGAAAGGCAGACACCATGTGGGAAATTTGGCACATATACCACGCTTGGCAAAACAATTTATACACTCTTTATTCAAACTTCCCTGGTAGGTGCTACATTTAAATTATTCTCTCATCGTAATGTAATTTTAGCTTTCTTCAGTCATTTTACACGCAAGAGGATCTTATTTCACTTTCAAATTTCATTCATTCAACTCTTTTTATATATCTATATTATTCTTCTCTAGTTATGTTCCTTGCAGCCAATTCAATAAGCAAATTACATGTAAACTTTGATAATTTCACTCACTGATTAGTTATATGATGGAAGTGGTTTTTCTGTTTATTATTATCATTATAATTATTATAATTATTATTATTATTATTATTATTATTCATAAACTATTTTAAAATCATGATGATTCTGTTTGATCATAGAAAGTTTTGAAAAAATCTCTGCACTAGTTTCAATGTTCCCTTTTTGCCTAGGTAAAAATTTTAAAATTTTACTGCTCCCGTAAATGTCTATAAGTTATTTGACCAGTTGTGAAGATGGTGCATAAATACCTATTTGAATTGATAGTTTGCATTGAGGCATTTTCATTATTTTTTTTTCAAATCAAACACAGAAAGGTCGTTTATCGCGAGCCTTTGTCGTGACTGAAAAACAAGGCCTTTAAGTGTTAAGTACTGATTAGAATAGAACAATCGTGAATTCATTATTGATAGCGAATCCTCAAGGTTTATTGGTGATTTTTTTACTTGACTTATCATGAATTGTGGCAATCAAACTTCAGGAGTGAAATATTATAAGTTAGGAATATGAAATGAAAAATGACCTATACATTGTACATTGTTTTCAATAGCTGAAAGTCGGTCTTCTTGCATGACGCCCAGAAGTATATAATATCACCTATTGGGGCATAAAACGTTACACTGCCTCTTTAAGCAGAAGAATCTCTGTAAAGGTAAAATGAATGAGTGGTTTGACTTAAACATATATATTTATTATTTAAGCTCGATTGCCAAACAACTTCTGGAAACTCATATTTATCACTTTCGAGTCAGCTTCCTGGAACCAACCAGTACATGGTCATGGCCCAATAAGGGCTCGAACCCATGATCACTGGGTTGAGAGGCAGACACCTCAACCACTAGGCCATCGCTCCCAAATGAATGGGTTTATCTGCAGGGATCTCATCACTATTATAAAATGTACCATATACTACAAGTTGACGATAGACTCTATTGAATAAAAACATCTTTTGTGTATTGGCTACAAATTTTATCATCAAACCATTTTTTTAGAAAAATGCCATTTTATGTTTTTTATTCTAGGACATGCGGGGCTTAGCAACAGTCACAGAGAAGCGGGCCTACACTACGGTTCTAGCGCGGGAGCATCTAACGAACTTCTTGAAGAGTGGAAGCGAGAATATGATTATCTACCAGACTGGCCTCATCATTTGGACATATCTGGAAAATTTTCATGAAACTCAGATGGTAGTTAGTACGTATCGTCACCTTAATGCAATAACTGATTAACTCCTATTTAATTTAGAAGGACTTGGCCTGTTACTGCACTAAGGTGACGGTATGTTAAGTAAGCACAACTACCATGTCTAGAACTGGATTTACAAATTATTACGTCTTTTTCAAGAATTTTGTTCGGTTTTCATGACGTACGTGTATATTTTAGTTCTTAATTATTTTCCTATTTTTTAAAAATTTCTATCTATTATATTCGGGAAGCGTTTGTTGGATAAGATTTGTGTTGATCCTTGTCATATAGAGGATTATTATCTACCCGAGGCACGGATAGAGTTGACATGCATCTCATTTTTAGGAGTTTAAGATAAATGATCGTAAGATAAATGCAAAGAAATAGATACCGAACATCATAACAGCAAAGCATACAGCATAAGTTCTTATCAATTCGGCATATTACGTTACTTTCCGTTTATTTTAAAGGAGGTAAATGTGAAGCGTATCAATTCACTTTTGTCTATACATTATCATCTTTTTAGCATATAAGATGGTCTCAAAAAGATTCTGTCACGATAAATTATGATACCGAAATAAAAAAAAATGCACTGGCATTTAACACTCTTTTAATTACGATCAACTTTCAAAAAATGGATAGATCTACAATCAAAATCCAACGCTTGGACATTCTAATTGTAAACCAGTCTAAGCCGGCAAGACGGTTATCCGTAATGAACTAGTCTAAGCTGTGATGGCGAATTTTCGAAGGGAACCAGTCTTAACTCAGAAGGTGGATATTCGTATGGAACCAGTTGAAAGTTTTGAAGCAAGCATTGAGGTATCAATGTAAAAGACATACAAATGCTACATAGTTTGGACGAAAGTCACTTTGTTATCAAATAACGAGATAGTATTAATTCTCTAAAATGTAAAATGTCAAATTTTTACCATATGGAACGAGGCATGCGTGACTTACATATAGATTGTGTTCGTTCATTTGTGTGTCTGTTCCTTTCTTTTTTTCTTCTTTTTTTTTGTTGTTGTTGTTAACTTCTTGATTGTATATTTTTGTTTGGTATATGTATATATTATTTTTAATTTCTGAAGATAAACGCATATTGACAAAACTTTCATGACAATCCTTTTTGATAATAAAAATAAATAGAATTCACACCGAGACCGTTAAGCCATTTCGTCTTAACATATTTATGAATTTAAGAGCCCTACATATGTAAATACGAGTATCTGATTGTATGCGTTGTAGTAGTAGTTAGAATATGCTTTTACTATTTAGCAATCATTTAATTGTTAATAATATTTCTATAATTAATCATATGACAAAACTGTTATGACGATATCACCCGAAACTAGTCGATACTAACCGATTCATAAGGATATATATTATCTTCTACATACGATTACATCTGCAGCGGAATTTACTAATTAAATGCAGCTTTAACATTTGTACAATTTTCAAACGAGTTTACAATTAAAAAACAAACATATCAAACTTAAATATAATGTAGTGTAATTATGGATGTGTTTGAATATTATATTACTTATCAAAAGGCACATAACTCCCAATGTAGGTTAGCTATTCCTTATTTTATCGATATTTTTTATCTCATTTGAGTAATTAAATGAAGAGAACACAATTAATTAATGAAATTCCGTGTTTATTTCTACAGAGGATACAATAAAAATATTAATCAATGGTAAAAAAGGTTCGATAAATTATATGTTAATGCTGTTAGAATTGTGTATAAGTTATCTGCGCTTTAAAGAAAATTCAAGGGCTGATAACTCGTAAATGAGGTAGGTGACCCCAAATTTTTATTTGCCTAAAATGTATCTGCTATAACATTCTAAGAACATGCAAAGTTTAAATAACTTCTATAATGTAGCTTTCAATGTGCTTATTCATTTTATGTAACCCTGCAGCTGCCTGACTCCAGATGAGCAAAAATATACCAATAAAATTAGCCTTGAGAAAATGGACATGCATTAACTTTTTAATAAAAGTTACAAAAATCCACAATCCACAATTCAAGAAATAATTTGTATGTTATATGCAATGAATAGCTGATTTTGAAGTATTTACATGTATTTCCATATTGCATAAATTACTTTTGTTGTTCAGTTGACAGTGTTTGACTTTTAAATGCATCTTTAAAAATTGATGGAAATTATCATGAATACTTTAATTATTGATAATTTGTGACTGAATTTACACTTCTTATCACCGTTACAACTATCATAAAGCTGGCGTTGTACTTTTTATATTTCGACATATTATATATTAATTTTGTAAGTGTTAGTGCCTTATGCTATTTTAAATTATTGTACATTTCATAAATTTGAAAAAAAATTCTAAATGTTCATGAAAAAAATCTTAATAAATATTCAAGAATACTGCATTTGTTTGATTCGTCCTGTTATCCACATTCTGTAGGAAAAAATAAATCCATATTTACAATTTGTCTGTATGTCGCAATAATTAGGTTTTTATTTGTTTTGGTCGTCAGACCAAACAAATAATGGTAGCGAAATTTCAGACTTTAACATGCTTATTTGCAAAAACCGAAAGTAGTCAAAACTCCTCGAAGTGGTTTCTTCCCTAAAGACGAAAAATTAAGGGGAGATCACTGCGTAAAGATTGTCAAATGACAGACGCATTAATTTTCAAGCCTTCTCTGAGAAGAAAAAAATAATTACCGATTGGACAAAGATTTCTCATATTGTGTAAGTCTATACAGATATGCATGCTTATATTAAGCTCCATGATTATTTACATCAGTGTTTCACAACAGGTTTACCGTGAACAAAATATCTCGAAATTAATAAGGGTTACAAACCCTAATTAAGAATAATGTGGTTTTCTTCAGGCTGTTATTTTATAATCTCCACGTGGTCCGAGGGATGCATGCTCGTTTAGGAAGCAAAAGGTCTGGAGTTCAAATCCCACTTAAGGCAATCATGTGTTTTTATTATTATTATTATAATTATTATTATTATTATTATTATTATTAGTCGATGACTTCTAATCCAGTTACCTCTCTGGCGTGGGTTCGATCCCCGGAGATGCTTTGGTAGTTTAGCGCGGAGGAAGGTAGTCTAGTACTGGTGTAACTCTCCAGGAACGATGGTTAGGAAACTACCCGCCTATATGACTGAAATACTGTTGGAAAAGGGCGTAAAATGAAACAAACAAATATTATTATTATTATTATTATTATTATTATAATTATTATTATTATTATTATTATTATTATTATTATTATTAAATTGTTTAAGCCAAATAAACATTGAATTTGAATATCAGTGTTGCAATTAGCCTTATAGCAAATTTACTACAGTTGTAACACTGGAAACAGCATTGATGGCACTATACAAAAACAAATTGGTTAATAGTCTCACAACCTTCATCTTTCTGACATTCTGAGACCCAAACAAATTCAGCGCCTTCTGTGCTTTGATTTTGTATTGTTGTGGTTGCTCATGATTTTTATTGTTTTTTTTTGTTGTTGTTGTTGTTTTAAAGAGCCGTTTTCTTTTTGTTTATTTATTCTTTTATTTATTTCTTTTTTCTTTTTTGGTAAATAGATCTTTGTGTGTTTCATTTTGTTGTTTTTTGTTTTTGTTTTCCAAGCTTAAAAAAAAAATATTTTTTAAAGTTAAAAAGTAAATGGATAACTATTACAGACGACTGATGTTATGTTATTGTTTTTTATGTACGTAACAAAGAATTGTTTTGTTTTATTATAAAAGAGCTACAATGGCAATGATCAGATCATTTCAACAGAAGAAAAGATGAAAATTGAATATCTATAATACATTGTACTGGGAAGTTACACAAAGTGTTGGCTTGATTTAAAACAGAGACAGTTCCGAAACAATTCGAGTATAGTTAGTACATTGTTGCACGCAATGCTCGTGTTTTTACTGCAAATATATTGACATATCTGTTTTAAATGTCCAGTGCATCGTAATACGCTCGTATTGCTTGTCTAACTCTCTGTTCATTGTAGCTTAAACACACTGTATTACGGGCGCCAGTGATGACAGATTGCTGCAGTGTTGATAGAAATCTAAAATTTACTTATTTCTACGCCACGGATAGGTTATAAACTTGAATAATATATTTACATTACGTTAATAAGAATAATATCATTGCTTTAGACTTGTTGTACATTGACTGGAGA